TCTTCAAAAGGGAAAAAGCAAAATCCTACTAGAGAGATGTGTGAGAGAGAGAGTGCACGAGTGTGTGAGTCTGTATGTACATGCGCACACGCATGAACTTTATTTAAACTTTTAATTGTTACTTTATGTGATGATCTCAAGTGACATCAACATACAGGCAATGTGTCTTTATATCTGGGGCCACAGCACAGTGGATGTAAACCAAAGATGGCTAAATAGTTCATTTAAATGAAATCTGGAAAAAAAGTACTTATTACCTTGATTCCAAATCCCAGTGCCTTTAATATGGGATTTATCTGACTGTTTTATATTCCACCTCTGGTCTGTTGGCACTTTTATACGATGTTAATTCAGTATCAGTATAAAAGCTAAGCCACGTAACTGCAGAAAGTGATAAGCTTTGCTCTTTTAGTCCATTTTCCTTCCAGCAATCTTTGCAGCCAACTAAAATGCGAGTGACAGCAGCCATGTTTGGAGGGAAGGCATGTTGAGCAACAAGGTCACTTTTCACCCTTTCAAATTTCATTTAGGCTACAGTATTCCAGAGTGTTTTGTTTTGAAAATTCACAACAGCAAGTCAAGATTTTGATCAAGTAACAAGGACCTCACATTTTCCTCAGATAGGATTTTCAAGCATGATTGTCAAGATTGGAAACTGTACAGGTAATGACAGTAGCCAACATGACCCTGGCAAAGTTTTTAACAACTGTCTAAATAAGCTGGCTACCTAGGTGACTTCCAGCTCTTTAACACAGCTATTTGTGTGTTCCAATAGATTTTAAGTTCTCTTTGGGGAGGGGAGTGAGGTGACAAACAGAAAAAAAAAGCACTGAATTCCTTTGGCCATAACTATACAAACAGGGCCCTAATTTAAGCCAACCACAAATCTCTGCAGAGGCTTCTAAGACTACAGAAAAGGATGCAGGCCAACTGAACTGAACTGAAAGAAGCTTGAACCGAGAGAAACCTCCTCCTTGGAAGGTTTTAAGGCCTGGCTCAACAAAGCCCTGGCTCATATAATCGAGTTGGGGATGGTTCTGCTTTGAGCAGGTGGTTGGGCTAGATCAGGGGTGGGTAAAATGCGGCCCACCAGGCCATTCTATCCGGCCCACAGGGCCCCTAAATATTAATTTTCTCAATTTTTTATCTGCCCCTGGCTGCCTGTCACGTGGCCCTCAATGGCTTGTCAAAACTCAGTAAGTGGCCCTCTGCCCGAAATAGTTGCCCACCCCTGGACAAGGGGCAAATTAGGGCAACCGCCCTGGGCCCCACGGAGCTGGGCAGAACAGCAGCGGCTCCGCATCCTGCCGCTCGTTAACCCCCCACCCCCGCTGACACCGCCACGGCAGCTTCTTTGGGTCCAGGATTGGAGCAGGGGCAGGGCCCTGCATGGGCTGATTTGCCCCAGGCCCCACACCCTGCTCAGGTCACCTCTGTCAGTGGTTCTCAACCTTTCTGTACCAGGACCCATTTGTAAACATCCATGGCCAGTCCCAACCCAGTGCCCCTCATTCCTAACCTGCTGTCCCCTGCCCCCAGTGGGTGGGGTGGGGGGTGGCAAGCACCCCCTTACAGGCTGGAACTCTGGCAGCCTGCAAGGGAAAAGCTGTGGTTTTCCATGTTTTTCTGCTTTAAAGGAAAATCCATTTTTAAAGTTTGTTCACAACCCTTTCACATATTCTTGCAACCCACAGGTTGAGAAACGCTGCACTAGATGACTTCCTGAAGTACCTTCCAACCCTCATTTTCTACCCTCAACTGATCAGAACCCAGAGATTCACTCAAACTGTTGCTCAAACCAAAGGATCATCACCCTGTCACAGTTGATAATGGCTGAAGCAAAAACAACCCTCTCTTTAATCTTCTGAAGAGAGGTAGAAGTCAGGGTTTCCAAAGCACCTGTACTGCTACAGCAGTGATTCTCAAACCAAGGTACCTGCTTTGGAGTAGCTGAGATGTGTTTAAGGGTGCTGTGGGGTACAGACACTTGCACATGATTTACAAGATAAACCCAGGGATTTCAAATAAGAACCCATGGTATCTATCAAAAGCATTCTGACCTTTTGTGGTCTAAGCTCTTTGCAAAAGAAGAACTTTTTATTTTTCTGTAGTCAAAAACAAACAAACAAAAAACAAGAAACAACCACCCCCCACCCCCGCAAAAAAACCCCAAGTGAAAGCTAAAAGCTGGTATTTTCCAAGGGGTGCCTAGGGTCTCAAATACTGGGAACTACTGTGCTAGAGCATGATAGCAAAGAGAAAAATCTTTTTCTTTACATCTTTCAGTTTGGTTAAAATCTTTCCATTTGTGATCCCTGTTGCACAGAGGCAGACAGAAAAACCTGAGTGGCAGCCAGTTCCAATACAGAGGAAAAGTGTGGCAGGAATTGCAACACTTATTGCTCTAGCACTGAACAGCAATATTAGAGGGGAGGGAAGAAGAACACCATGTGCAGGCAGAGGCAATTTAAGTGCTGGTGCGGCATTCTAACAAGGTCTGAGAGGTGCAACTGCAACCAAAATAAAAGTGAACAAAGTTTTTGAAAAATTCAACATATTAACTAGAGAACCTGATGAAGAGAACAGGATTTCTAGAAATCCAGGGTTGCACGCAGGGGCCAGGGCAGCGCAGAGCTCGCAGCAGCAGGCAGCTTTCCTGCGCAACTCTACTGTTTTTTGCAGTGCCGGGTCACACATGTTGGGCTGAGGATCAATTCAAAATATTATTTGAAGCTTCATTTAAGGTCATCCTTTGTGCAGGCTGTGCACATTGCATACATCTGAACTGTTTTGCAATATGACTGGCAAGTATAGCATAAATTAAACAAAGGTGGGAGAAAGAGGCATTACTACAAGGCCACAGGTCTCCAAAAATAAAGGAACTCTAAACCATGGGGAAAATATTGACAACATCCACTTTTCTGAAGTAGTTTAAATGCATCTATTCTTGAAACATTGTGGTGATTTATTAATAAGGGGAAAGTTTTAGAGATTTCTTAGACATTTCTCAATGCTCATCCGAAGGTTCATGTGCAACTGAGGCCAAATTTTATTGCT